CTTTTTTTTTCTCCTATTAATGCTTCATGTTGACTCCTTGCAATATAAGTATGCATCAATAATCCATCTATTAGATCATCCCATCTAATAATTTTTTAAATTTTATTGCCAATACATTTTAAATCACCTAAAGTAAATTTTTCTTTTTCAACATAATTCGTTGTATTTGACTACAAAGTATTAGATTTTTCTGAAAATTCTAGCTTTATACTTAAATATTTTCCTAAATTTTCTTCCATCTAATATGTTAATGCTTTGTTATTTGAAATTTTATGCACTTTAAAAATATCTCCTATAAATACCTTCATTTTTCTTTTACCAAAATTTTTCTTCAAGTTTTTTTCACTTTCTTTTAAATATAACATACCATCTTTGAAAAAAATAATTTTTTTACAAAGTGCCTCTATAAAATTTTCATATTTCTTTCTTGAATAATTTGTACTATCACATATACTTATACATAACATCTTTCATTGGTCTTAAATTTTATCTTATTGATATTCTTAATGATTGATTCTTCTCTTTAAGCTTTGCAAAGTTTATTTGCAAATCTCTCATCCGTTGTATGATTTCATTCATGCCCATTTCTTCTTTCTTTGATGTAGCTATTAAAGGTTGAATCATAGATGTATGATAGATAATAGGCATTTTTTCCTTAAATGCTTGACTTGGTCTTTGAATATCTATCCTATATTTCTTTGTTTTTCTTTTTGCAAGAAATTCTATAGACTCTTCTATTTCTTTGTAATTTTTTGTCAATTCTTCATCTTCTTCTTTATCTTCAAGCAAGATTTCTAACTTCACTTCTAACTTTCTATCAACTATATAAAAGAAAAGATCCAAAAAAAAAGTATTTGAAGTCAAATCAACCATTAATCTCAATAAAAATCACTTCAATCCAACTAGCAAATTATTGCAAATCTTAGATAACCTTACTAGACCTAAAAATCCAATTTTTAAGACCCTAATCTACTTGAACTTCAATAACCTCCAATCCAGCTATTTAATTAAGTTCAAATTTATAACATATATTTAATACAATTATATTCACAATCCCACAAAGTTTCACTTATAGATCTCCTACAAAACTCACTAAATTTTCCAAATTATAAATCCTATTTTATTTTATAAAATCCAAAGTCACCTAAAACAACTTTTATTTTTCAAAGTTCTTATAAAGTCATTATAAACTCAAATTCCTTGAAACTAATGCTCCAAAAAATCTTATAAAGTCTTTTTTCAAATTTTGATTTTTGATTTGCAAAAGAACCCTAGAATTGCTATAAGTTTGTGATTTTGTGCCTCGAGATCTGATTTTATCCCAAGTTGACAACTAGTCCTCTCTAGGTATCAATTTTTGTCTTTTTGAAGTAATTTTTATTAAAATCAACTCTTAATTCTTTCCTACATATGCTTATATTTTTTATTTTTCTAATCTATCTTTTTTTTGTCTTATTTGTGGTCTTATGAAATAAGTAGAAGCCTACTTTGCAAAAAGGCAGTATTTGCACTTTTAGTTTACTATCCTTTGACTATTATCTATATTTCTAAGATAACTTGCTATAATATTTTTAAATAAGATCTTCTAAAATATAGTATTTTCTTCACGCTTTTACCTATTAGTCATGTTATATTATGTCATCATGTCTTATAAATTAAACACGTATTGGAGGTCCTATAGAATGTTTCTACATTGTCATATTTTGTAAAGTTTGCTTGAAAATGCACTTAGGACTTGGCTATAGAAGATAAAATAGAACTTATAATAAGAAGATCTTAACAAGTCTAATAGAATCCTAAATAAACTCTAATTAAATTATAATAATATTAATCAATCATTAATTAAATTTCAAAAGAATCTTAAAGAACTTATAAAAGAAAGATAAAGAAATTATAAATTAATCTTAAAGAAATATATATATATAATTTTAAAAAATCTAAAGAAATATTAATATATATATATATATTAAAAATTAAAATCTTAATTGAATCCTAATAAAATCCTAATATAACCTTCAACAAATTCTTATGTAATCTTAAATCAATTCTAATCAAATCTTAATTAAATCCTAATAGAATATTAAACCAAATTCTAATCAAATCTTAATAAAGTCTTAAATAAATCCTAAATCCTAATCTTATTTTAATCAAATCCTAAACCAAATCCTAATAAAATCCTAATGAATTTTAATCAAACCCTAAACAAAATTTAAGTCCTATAATAGATTGAAATATCATGAACTAATATTTGAATCATTGATTTCAATTCAAATTTTTTACACTTTCTAGTAATTAATTTGGCAATAAATAAAAAATATTTAAAAAAGATTAAAAATATCAAATACATAATAATCTCTAAAATCCACTTGGATATTGGCCAGCCTCCTTCTCCATCCTTGATGCTAATAATTTAGAACCAATATCTCTTAATTTAATCATTTAATAAGTCTCAAAGTTTGCATAATTGTTGCATGTAAATTTTTCTACTTGTGTGCAAAAATTTACATTAATTCAAATAGTAGATTAATAAATATCTTTAAAATCCTCACTAATCCTCTAGATCCCAATTTCCAAGACTTCAATATATTTGAGCTTCAATAAATTTTGAATAGACTTTTAGATTAAGCTTAATCTTACAATATAATTTATGCACAATAATAATCACTTAATCACAAAATTTCATCCATAAATTATCTAAAAATCTCATATAATTGTCCCAAGTACTAGTTCTTTAAATTTTTCAAAATCCAAAGTTACTTAAAAACAATCTTAACTTTGTAAAGCCTTTACAAAGTCACTACATATTCAAATCACCTCTAATCAATGCTTAAAAAAATCTCTTTCTTATTTTCTCTCAAATCTTTTTCTTTAATCAACCAAAGAATCCTGAAGTCAATGTAAATGCACAATTTTGTGCCTTGGAATTTGATTCCGACCTTGGTTCACAACTGGTTCTTGATGGATATTAATTCTTTATATTTAGAATCTATTTTTCATCTCTTCTTAAAATATCTCTAAATTTAGAGATAATTTTTACTAAAACCTATTTTTAATCTCTTTTTAAACTTATCTATATTAATTATTTATATTATTTACTTTAATTTGGCTTATTTATGCTTTTATAAAGTAAATAAAAGTCTCTTCTACAAAAAGGCAATATCAAGACTTAATTTCTTACTACCTTTCTATTATTTATGTTTATTTTTTTACTATGTCTTTCTACTAGGCTCTTCTATAATAAAATAATTTCTTTCTTATTTCACTTAATGGTCGTGTTACTACACAACAATGTAGTTTCTAATTAAATAGTATATATGGAAGCAAGAGTGAAGCCTTATTTACTCTTGTCAATGCCTTTCTAGTCCTTAGTCTTGTTTCAAGACTTTCTAGTCTTCTTATCTTTAACAATTGCCATTCTACTTTTAATACTATATTAATTTTAAGTGAATATCTATTCTTTTTTACTTATACAAGAATGTATTCAATTTTTGGTTCTATGAGATTCATGCCCTTCAAGTACCTAGTTGAGAAGTATGACAGCAAAGACTCATTGCTCATAGACAAGATACTAAAAGAAAGAATAACTATCAATTAGTAAATACAAAGCATTGTCACAACTAAATCTATAAAAAAAAACTAGAGAAAAAAAATCTATGTTGTATGTAAACATTGACAAAAGAAAAGAAGGAAAAATGTATCAAAAAGTACCAAAAATAGCCACTCCAAAATCTACATGGCATGCAATTTGGATCCCAAATGTACCTAAAAAAAAATAATAATATCTTATCACATTTGAAGGTAGATTTGCTATTATCAATAATACATTGATATTCTTGATATTTTAGCATATTTAATGGATATGTTTATATATATATATATATATATATATAATATTTTCTAAATTAAATAAAATTTTAATTGAGATAGTAAAAAAGATGATATATTTGTAATAAAATATTAATTAATATACTTAGTTATCCAATAATCATATCATATTATATTAAAATTTTGATTACTTATTTCAAATCACAACCTAAAATATAAACATGTTATAAAAATAATTAAAGACTTCAAAAAAAAAATTAATATTAATATCATTTGAATGATATTAATTCATTTATATTTAAAATGAATGTGATTGTCAATAATACTTATTTTTAACTTTTTAACTTTTTAACTTTTTATACATATCAATTCTTAGTATCATATATATTCTATTTATAATTTTAAATTAATATATATATATATAATTTATTGAAATAATTAAAGCCAATATTATTTTCTTAATTATAATATTTTTTAATATAATGTATATATAATATTATATATATATATATATATATATACACACACACATCAATCCTAGCAACCTTAATCTTTTCTTTGTTTGTACTTTTGATTGCAGAGCATAGCATTTGTGGTTTCAAGTGTTACAAGCTGAATATTTTTGAAGAAGTTTCCAAGTATCAAAATTTTGCATTTTAGTCATGAAGTTTTTATACTATTTTTTTTTTTGAACTCTTACTGGATTGAAACCATGAAGATTAATTACTATTCACTGGGATCATTACAGTTTATTAACATTGAACCCCATAATTTGTAGTAAAGTATAGTGTTTGCTAAAAAAATCGTTATTATACTAACATAACGAATATTTGTAGACATACTTGATTTTTTGATTAGGAAATACATGCAGATGTGTATTATGTTAACTGTGGAATTTATTTCAATGATACTATGTAATACAAAACAAAAATTTAGTGAGTATTGTGTTCAATTGTTTCTGGAATCATAAATAGAAATGGAAGCATCAGAATATTAAATTAAAGTTTTATCTTCCAAAATAACAACAATAAAATATATATATATATATATATTTATATTTATATATATTTATATGATCTTATTGGAAAAATATTAATTACTTAAGCCTAGTTCTATAATACAACATTAATTGATCATACAACCACAACTAATTGCAGCATTCACAATAAAATACATTTTCCACATGAAAAATGGATTTCTTTATTTGATATTGATTATGTACAAGAGAAATTAATTACATAATGCTCATCAAACTAATGTATACTAAAATAATTATCTACATTGAAAGCCGATTTGCCAAGTACCACAAATGGCATGTTAATCCCACCAAATTGGTTAGATTAAGTATCAATGAATAGTCATGTAATGTTTTAAACTCTTGATCAAGTTTGTTTAATTCAACACCTATTATTTTCTTCCTATTCATTAAGTAAATGGAATTACTCTCCAAACCCCTTCCTTCATCCTTCTCAAAATTCAGTCTCTTATACAAAACCTGCACAACCACACCAAACCAAATCATGATTCACATTCCAATCTAGAACAATTTTCATAGCTTGTTACTTTTACTTTTTTAAACAAACTTAAGTAAATTACCATTTGACTAAATTTTTTATTAACTTGTTACCATCCACATAATTAAGAAAATTTTAGAACATGACCATCAACTGAATTCACCACTTTCCGTAGCTATCAAGACAACCCACATAAAATACATACAAAAAGAAAAAGAAGAAAAGAAGAAAAGAAAGAAAGAGGGGAGGGGAAGAAGAAGAAGAAGAAGAAAGAGGAAAGAAAAGATAAAGAGGAAAGAAAAGGAAAAGAGAAGGAGAAAGTCAGAAAGACCACAAAGAGGAAGAGCAGAAGAAAGACAGAAGAGAAAGAGAAAGAGACGTGGCCGAAACGAAAAAGAAGGGAAGTGAATTCTTTTACGTTCACCTTTAAAAGGCGGGGCTCCAGAACACCAGCATTAAGCAAATCTGCGGCGATCATGGCGCCGAAGATGACCAGCTACTCTCGCTGCGAGCTGTCGGCCGAACCCCACCGATGCCACACGCATTCCAGCAGCAGCATCACCGCATGCCCCGCCGCCGATATCCTCACGTACCCCAGCATCACGCGCCTCTCCACATCCCCGAACTGCTGTCGCGGGATGAGCTTCGACAACAGCATGCGCCACACACACGTCACCCACACCGCGGATCCATACGCCGCCGCGAACGTGAAGAGGTGCAGCGCGCGCGTCGCCGCCGCCATCCGCAGCAGCAGCAGCGGCGCGCCCATCTGATCAGTCGCCACGGTTCTCTCCCCTAACCCAGGAACGAAACTGGCCAGCTCTTCTCGCGCCTCGTCGGCATACCCCCCCGCTACGGATCGCTGGGCCTCGTATGCCACGTAGGCGCTCCGCACCCCTTCTTCTTTCAGGTTTCGTGCCCCTCGGATGAGGATTGAGTCGGGTGCCTACTGCTGCTGCTCCTCTTCGTCGTTTGGGTCGTCATCATCCTTAGGGTGCAATCTGCCGCTGTCTCTCGTGGTGTCGGTGCCCTCTTTTGCATGATCCTTCACAAGGCCCGATATCTCCTCCGCTGTAGGTGCGACGCCCATTGCAGCTTTTGTTGGGTGGTTTAACACTGTGTCGTGTAGCTCGTCGGCTCGATCAAGTGGGGGCTGGCCTTTTCCTTGCCAAACGTACTTCACATTGCCAATCACTACCTCCTTGGGAGTTGACACAAAGGCTTGACCTGGGGGCAGTGCACCCACACGGCGCCAGCCCATGGCTTATACAAGTGCGCTGAAATCATCGCCGGGCTTGAAGTTCGCACCCTCGTAGTCATCCTCTCTTGTGGCCTTATCGCCGCTTCTCTGATGTAAAGCTTCGTAGTAATCTCTGTACTGTCTGGGATCCTCATGATGTCGGTCAGAGATGTACCCTCCGTTGCTCCCTCTCGAATCCTCGTAGTAATCTCCTGCTCTTCCTCTGGCACTCCTGTGTGCACTCCACGACCTGTCCTTCATGGCATCGTAGCGGTCAGTTTCGTCTTCAGGCGCATCAGAAAACCGAGAAGGATCGTTTCTGAAATGTCGCCTGCCATTCGTTCCAGTGTGATAATAATCGCTGAGTAAATTTGTAATAATCCCTCGCGCTCACATAGCGCCGCCCTGCCTCGTCATAATATCCTCCCACCATGTCCCATGCGGAATCATAATTCTCCCCGGTCGGATCTCTTCCCTCATGGTTAAGCCACCTCGTCCTGTCTCGCACTGTTTCCTTCGCAGAGTCTCCACTGTTGGCACCTGCAGCTCTTCCATCAGAATGAATCATCTTCTTCGCTGCTTCAATGGCTGACCCCTTGGACTTGTCCACACCCAACTGCACATTCTCAACCATGGTGTCACCAGCACTTCCAGCATCGTCACTAATCTTGTCATTTAAATGTTTCGCTGATGCAACACTATCGTGCTCTATTTCCTTGACATCGTACGATTTATCCTTCGCATGCTCAGCTGCATCACTCGTATCGTCTTTAGCTGACTGGAGAGTATCTGCTGTAGTGTCGTGGGCGTGTCTGGCAGCGTTATACGATGCATCTTTTGCAGACCCCACTTTGTTGTATAAGGTGTGAGCGCCATCTGCTGCCCATTCCTCCACTGTCCCAGCTGCAAGATCGGCTTGATAAGTTTTATCGCCCGAGTACTTCGCTGCACAGAAAGTGAACACATCACTTACAACGAACTTGCAATCTAGTAACACCGTCCCCTCAAATTAAAACCGTAGTTATGAATACTAAGCTGCAAGAACCAAATGTCAATTTAACAAGAGACGAGCTCATAACCTAGGGATGGGCTAAAATGAAGCTGGAAAGTCATGGTACTCAAGAAAAACTAGTGAAAAATCCCACCTAGTGGTCCTGAATGAACCATGCGAATGTTGTGAAAAGAACTTACTTTCCAAGGGCACAAGAGGTTTCGAATCTCACTTCACGGTACCTGTTGGTCATTACCATCGAAGAAGGGCGAAACTTTCCGGGGATTTGAGCCCGCAAATCCCAATCTTAAAAACAGAGAATCTGAACAACCTAATTCTGAGACCAAATCGCAAACTGGCAAAATTCATGTAACACAACAGGCTGGCGCCTCAAGTGGTGTACCAGAATCAATGGACTTCGTCGAACTGATCTTCGCATCCCCATCCCCACGCAACTTCATCATTAAAGGCTCCGGAGAGAGCACAATTGCTGAGCCCTGCGATGCTAGGAGCACCGCCAGAGCTATCATCGTGATCGCAATCCCTCCCTACTCCCCTATACGTCGAATTTTCGAACCCACGAACACAGAATTCCTGATGGAAACTGCGCGATTTCGAGAATGAAACCCGCGCCGAAACTCACGCTCGAGAATTTGTCGTGATCTGAGCTAAAAAAATCCGTGTCTGAAACACAAAAACTGAATGAATTCGACCCAGGCGGGCTTCGGCGGAGGGGGGGGATGCTGAACTGGCACTATGTCCACGTGGACCAGCCGGCTGCCACTTGGCTGACAGTCATGGTCACACGTGGCTGGGTAGTACACTCCCGCCAACAGGTATTTCATTCGTTATCCGTGGATGAATGTTTTGAGATTATCATTCGAAAGAGCCTATGTCAGTGAATTACATAGCACTTGCGGTATAAATATTTTGATTGAATTCTCTTGGCGTTTTTATTGTGGTACTCTTTACAGTTTGTTTAATGCCATTACTTGCAATATCATGATTAGCTCGCTATTATTTTTCTATTTTTTTTTTCTTCTTCTTCTTCTTCTACCTTTTTTTTTCTCTCTCTCTCTCTCTCTCTCTCTCTCTCTCTCTCTGTTGCTGTGTTACGGTTGGATTAATGTGAGAATATTGCATTGTCCCATTTATTTCAATAATCACACGGAAGAGAAAAAAAATAAATTTTTATATATACATGCACTTACTCAAAAAAAAAAAAAAAAAAAAAAAAAAAAAAACTCATTAAAAAAAGATTTTATGTATTTATGTATAACTTCGTATGATTGGTTAATGACCACTTCAATTATTTTGAAATTGAAATATTCTCAAGATTATTATTTTTTCAACGTATTATTAATAATTCTCTGAATTTATATCTTGTATAAATATGATTCTTATACTTTTAACTTGATAATTAATATTTGATCAAAGCCTACCCATGAATCTATGAAATCTCACATTATTTTGCAATTTCCAATTCATGTTGCAGTTTGATTTTTTCAAATCCATGTCAATCTATAAAATAAAACACAATGAGGCACAAAATAATAGTGGCAAGACCTTTATCTCCTCACTCACTACATAATATTACTTCTTTAGAAGCTTCTAATATGTTCGTTCAGATTTGTATCATAGTGTTAAGCTTACAATATTCGTACTTTTTTATTTTAATTTATTTTATTTTCATTAAATTCTACCAACATTGATTTTTTTATTATTCTTTTAAATTTGTATTCCTTACCTTCTTGTATTCATAATTCTTCACCAAAAGGATTTAATCCTTTCCACTTTCTAAGTATTATATGAATTATATTTTTTCAGCTCCATAGAATTAATTATTTTTAAAAATGCTTATTCTTTTTAATGTCATGCATCATGTATTGACAAAAAAAAAAAATATATTAATGTGTGGATAAATATAAATATTAATGTCTACATTCTTATCATGTGAAATTTTTTAAAAAGAACATTTATTCTTTGATTACTATTTGGTATTACATGAATATATATATATATATATATATATATATATATATTATGACAAAATTATCATTATTTTATCATCAAATTATTCTTAGTTAAAGATTTATTATTTAATTTTTTATGTTATAGAGTTCAGTCATTTTTTTGTAGTTTTTAAGTTCCTTTTCCACAATTCTAAAAAACAAATAATTACATGATAAGAATACTATAGTGGTACTAGAGAGATAAAGCACCTGAATTGACTAGAATTTTCTATCTAGTTGAATTGGTTGTAATTTTTAAAAGTATTCTATAAAGTATATTTTACCTTGATTTATATAATTTGTATACTTTACTTCACAAATATCCAATGGTTTTGAATATTATTAATAATGTAAAATTTAAAGCAGTATTAAATGAAATAATTATTTTAGTTTTAGCTCATTGAAAGAAAAACATTAAAACAGTTTTTGTAGGTACAGTTATCTAGGTTTATTGTGAATATTATCATACTTTAGATTATGAGATTGCAGTTAATATAATATTAGTTTTTATGTGAAAAAAGACACACTTATGTGTATAAGGTAATGACCATAAGTAACAATATAAAAATTATTCCAAATAGTTAATAAACTCCACAAACTAAAAATATAATTAAAAGTAGATATTATAGAATTAAATTTTAAATTGTATAAATAAAGTTGTCCAAACTCTAAATAATTTACCACCTTTGTTATCTCTCATTTATGAATTTAAATAATGATATTTGGAAGATAGGAAGTGAAATAGGAAAAAGTAAATAAAATAAGTAATACTTTGATAACAATTTTTTTTTTCTTCTTTCTCCTAGTCAGTTCTAATGTAGGAGATAAGTAAATTATTTATAAATTCCCAAATTTCTTGAAGATTAGATTATGAATTCATTTTCTTCATCTAAAAACCACTAATAGTAGGTGGCATGGATATAATGAGTCAATAAAGTTTCACAAATTAACACAAGTGAATCAGTTTGACAACAGTTAGATCTAAACAAAAGAACCATAAATTATTAAGAAACCATACATTAATCTCTCGAGGTGGTGGTCAATGTGTGCTATTTTGGCATTGTATGAGGACAAGAATTATGGAAAATAAGCACCATAGTTTATAAGTTTATGGAAAATAAGCACCATAGTTTATAAGTTTATGGAAAATAAGCACCATAGTTTATAAGTTGTGTGGATTTAGTTGTTTATTTCCTACTCTAAAAGAAAGATAAAAGATGAACTTATTAAATATTATTATGGTTTAGAGATGTTTTTAGAGATTACTTATTATTTATTATTTTATCACTTTAGAGGTATTTTGTTATTTTTTTATTTTTTATTTTTTTATTTAAAAGCATCTTATTAAAAATAATTGTTAATATTGTAGTTACTAATTAAGTTTTTAGTATTGCACATGATCTCAATTGGAGTTGGAATTAAACATATACCTTTTGTATCTATCTATAATCTTATATTGAATTCTTTTTTTAATTTGTATTTATTATTTGTCAATTCCATGCTATAGAGAGTCTCTAAGTATCATAGTTTGATAATACGTACTTTTGATCACACCCATCATAACAAAAATGAGAATAGAATTAGGTTCCAAAATTATTAGTCTAAGAGATAAAAGATTAGATTAATGAACATTGTCTACAATGAACCACAACAAGCTTTTTACAAATAGGGTGACTATGTTAATGTATATATCATCTAATATATTATTAGAAAGTCCTTTACAACATCCTAGATATCTAGTCTCTTAAGTTGTACATGTGGAAGGGATTTGGAGGATACATTCACATATAAAGTATGGAAATATAGTCTTAGAAGTTTCAATATGTGAAAAATAATATAAAATAAAATAAATGCTAAAGTTGTGGATGAAAAAGAGGAAAAAAAGTAAACAAAAAAAACAAAAGAAAAAAGAGGCAATCCATTTTTATAGATGTGATTTGATTTTGTTTGGACCCTTAGGTATCAAATTCGAATCTTGGTCTTAAAAGATGTTCAATTTGTTAGTTTTAAAATCAACAAGTATGATTCTAATATTTATAATGATAAATAAATAAATAAATAAATAAACAAAAAAATATTTTGATGTATTTGATTCAAAAATCTTCATATATATATATATATATATATACACATTAGATTGCAATTCTATTATCAACTTTCCATTTGAATCATGCCAATTCAAGAGTTCCATATATTTATTCTTAATTTCCATCTTTGTTGCATTTTAGTTTTTTTTTATAATTTAAGTTTATGATATATTAATGAAATATTGGTATCCATTTCTATTATTTTTATTTTTATTAATATAGTGATTTTGGAAGAGTGCCTCTTTAATCCATCTAATACCATCTACAAGAGCAATTTTCATCCACACATTGAAAATGAAGAGGTAGTGACACAAATATTGATGCATTCTTTATTACTAACAAATTATCATTTCTGGATCCATAACTTGGACCATATAGCCAACAATGACTCAAATGTGGCCTTATGTTGTCCAACTTCTCCCACAACATCCTTCCATGAATAAGAGTTTTGCTCCAAGCCCCACCTGTGTATTAATGTTTGCATAGGTGTGTTATCATTCAATTAATATTATCATTTATATCATGATTTTAGGATTTAGGGTGGGGTGCTATTTTTTTTTGGAGACTTTGTCAAGAATTGAATTTTTTCAGTCCTTGTTCATATATTCATTCATTTGCTTTTACATTTGTCCATTCTCCATTCACGCACTCTTGGTTGGATGTGAGTTCCCTTAAAATTGAATGATGAGATGATTGATAAGTGGATTCTCACATGTGAGATTTTCAAAGGAATACTTATAGAATAGATGAACACTAACATTTTATGCAAGGTGACTCAAATTCCAAACACAAGACTTACTAAATTTTTTAATTAGTGCAATTCCTATTTAATTAAAAATAATAATAATTGGAAGGAAATCTATTGATAAATCTATTGATAAATAAATAACTAAACAAGAGTAGAAAATGCCTCTCTCAAAAAAGATTTTAGAAAGTAAATAAAAAGAAACCATTAATCAAAACTCTTCTGAAAAACAATGTTAAACTATGTGCTTTGGACTGAAATTTTACATGGATTTGTATGAAGTTTGTGTGGCTTTTCAAAAACGAATCATGCAACTGATTGGCACAGTCAACAAAAGACACCTGCAATTTATTCATTTACTTTCATATTAGTAGCTTTTTAAAATTCTGCCTTTTGATATTTTATGATATGACCACTCTAGGGTCTTTCTGGATTTTCTAAAACAGATTCCATAAAATATCTACTTGTGATAGTGACTCATTCTTACTTCTCAAGTTAAGAAGCATATATATATATATATATATGAATATTTGAATATGTTAGTTCCAATCAATCAAATTACAATGATATATTAACATCACTGATATTATCATTTTGATTTGTTGAACATAAGATTAAGGGTTATATTTATCATATTGGGACTTTGATATAAAAAAAATTAAGTATTTGTGAATTGATTATTTTATTTTAAAATTTTTTTTCTATATAAAAAATAAT